ATAGGAGAATTGGTGACACTTTTGATAGAAACAGCTCCCACAGAGGTATTTGCCAGCTCTTCTTGTCTTCAGATACCATTGATTCCATAGAAACGTCATGCTTAACAATGCCAGCTACCTATATCTCAGAACAGTCCTTCATAAAATCTTTCACAGAAAACTTGTTCAGTCTTCACTAGAAAAGAATGTCGACCAGAGCTGGAAAACACACCAAAGATGCTAGGAGACAAAGCAAGCGTTAGCATCCCACATTAAGTGTTCTGCTAGGAAAATGTCATGCTACCTATCCACAGACATGTTTTATACCAGACAGAAGTCCCATCCCACTTCACATTCTACGTCAAATCAGTATGAGATTTTTATAAAAGGTGTTCATAGATAGGTCATGAACAAATCCTTCATAAGCAGAACTGTTGTGCCTTTTGAGGTAGCAATGGATGCTGGGCTTTTGTTAGAAGCACAATGTACCAACCCATGAAAAAAGCCATGCAGCACAGGGTAGGTTGTTGGGTGTTTTTTTTTAAACTAGTCATTTATCTACTATCCTGAAAGAGGGGTTTAGGTCTGCCTTAACCACAGAGTGACAACTGCTTAACAGCATACAGAGATCTCTGTACAGGAGGGACTTAAGAAAATGCCTTTTTTTCATTAGTACAAACTGCTGACTTCACTGGAATATGTGAAATAAAAGGTTACAGGTATCCAAATATTCTACGGACAGAAATAAGTGAGAGTCTCTCCATATGACATTCCAAACAGTACTGACAGCAGGAAGTATTAACCCCCCCCCCCCAAAAAAAATGTCCAAAACCAAACCACAACCCACCAAACAAGAAACCAACACAACCCTGATGAGATTCCTCCCCACTCACTGCAAAAGAACCACCCATCATATTTTGTTTTCATTTATTTCATGGAATATGACACTGCAAAAGAGCAGTGACCACTGCTGAGTAGCAGAGTGATGATTTTGTTTGGTTTTAGGCACAATAGATGTGGCATGTGGAATGTTTCACAGATGAAACAACAAAATTTTCCCCCATGAGAGACAAGCAGAACCCTGCAGGGACCCTCCTGCTTACTCTGTGGCTCTCTTCTGGTTTTCTTGGGAGTAGTTTGCCAGGAGAGCTGGCAGAGGGGCTTGCTAAAGACCCCCAGCACAAGCAGCATGGGCCTGAGGAATGCTCTGCACTGCCTGCCTGACACAGAGCACACGGCAGAGAACTGCAGCGCTCAGCAGCTCCTGCTGAGCTGGGCTTTACACATGCCCTCATCCTGCAGCCCAAAAAGCAGCTGACAACCAGAGTGAAGAGTCTTTTATCCCCTTTCTGGCAATATTAACATGAGGTTTACAAGCTGGCTAGAAAGATTTGCTTTTAAAGTTCTCCTTTCTAAACAGGAGATATTTAACTTAAAAACCAGTTTCAGATCAGCACTAAAAGAGAAGTGGTCACTCTAGACATAACAGAAAAAGGAAGTGAAAATGCTATCTCCTTCACAATTAAACTCCTAAATATTTTACAACAGGGATGGGGGAAAGGTCTGGAAGCCCTCTCTCCCACAAACATAAACCAGAAAAGTATGCTCATGGGGAGCATCCCACCAGGTGCTGAGCCCCTCCGCATCCTTCCTTTGCAGATGCTCAGGAATAAAAGCACTCAGAGGAACAGAATAAACACGATGAAGCCACATGCCAGAAGACTGCCTCAGTTGCTCACTACAGCAAACAGCTCCCCTCTCTCCAACAAGACCATAAGAACCAAGCCAGCTAGAAAAATACATTTTTAGGTATGTCAGAGAACACAATCAATCAGGGAGTCACCTTGAGGTTGCAGAGAAGCAGAAACATAAAATAAAGCTGCAGTCTGTTGAGACTGTCTGGCAGCTAACCGCAAAAGAAAGCAGTGGATTTACCAGTGCTGCATCTTCCTGCAGATGAGATCCATCTAAAAGGTTTTATATTGTAAATCTTAAAGTAGATTCAAAATACAGTGGGTTTTCTCTGTTTTAAATAAAGGAAAACTTAAGGTAAGACATTTTAATCTTCCACGCTTCACTGTGTTGCATATGCAAAGCTCATGAAAATGGATTGAAGAAGCCAGAACATAAGACACTGGGTCAAATGTCAACTTCAAGGGGTTTAACTGGTTTGAACAGAGCTCGGACATTGCCCTAGGACTTCCCTGATGAAAAGCTCCAAATCACACAACACAGGCATCATAGAAATATAGCTTTATACAGGGCGTGAAAGATTCCTGGGAAACTCAAGCCTAAGTTGTCAAACTTCCTTCATTGCTGTTTGTTTTCAAGAAATATCATCAAGTCATGTTATTTAATTTTTGTGGAAAAATCTGCTCCAGGGCCTAGGAAAGTATAACAGGAATGATGGTAGGAAGTTCAGAAAGAAAGCACTTTTGCTGGGAAAGAAAAATAAATTATTCAGACTTACTAGTCAGAGAAAACCAGACATTTTCCTAAATGATTTATCTTATTTTTTCTTATGGGATGACAAAATTCCTCTGGGAGGGGGTTTGATAATTTTGTTTGGGTTTCTTAAATTTTAACAGAACCCCTTTCATTCCAATATATTATAGAACAAAAATAAAAACTGCATTGCAGTGTTTTTCAAATGCTATAGGAAAACAACAAAAAAGGTGTTTGGTGCTTTTTGCTTCAGATAATGTTTTCAAGAGCTTTTGAAGACTAAATCCCTGCTTTTCTAGAAGGAACTCTACTCCACATTTTTCCACCAGAATTGGAATTCCTTGCCCCTGCCAAGCATTATTTATTGGATGTTGGATTATTTGTTATTTCTTGGAGCTGAGCAGCCACCCTAAACTAGTAAACAATGTCAACCAGTACCACTTTCTACTGACATACTGCAGTGGCATCCACTGTAGGTCAAGTTACACCAAAGCTTGAAAAATATGGAAAGATTTTCATGCTCATTTACGCTTACAAACCTACAAATATCCCAATGGAACCCCAGTCGCATGGCTTCTCTTTGAAAGAAAGCAGCTGTATATGAGGATTTATTGCGCTCGTTAAGATTACTAAAATGTGTACCCAAAAAAGATCTATATTTTGCCCTGTGAAAGGAAAGGAAAAGCATACTCCAAGCTTTTGAATAGATTTTCAAGATGACAACCCCTAAAAAGTATGCTACTGAACTGAACACACATCGAAATATTTCTGTATTTTTATATAAATAACTACATGTTTTTCTCCTTGTTTCTAACTATGTTTTTAAACTTCCATGGTAGAAATTGACAGTTGCTGTTACCTTTCCTTTTTACCTTTACTACAGAAATTCCCTTCTGACTGCAAGATAAAAAATACCTTTTTCAAAACGTTATAGTTACTGTTTTCCCAGACAACAGATACTTTATAGACAAAGACACGTTACATACTTGCACACTCACTTAAGCGGGAAACGGTTCTAAATTCTACTTCTCCTTAAAAGATTATGTTGTTAAGGGATTTACAGTAAATTTATTTTAATCTACTTCTAATGTATCTGAGTGATTATTTAAGGGAGGAAGGGGAACTGCTGACGTTTGTTTTTTAAACATCCATACGACTGTGCTACACTTCGGCTTTAGTTCCAAATATTTGTGGACCAAAGACAGCCCTGCACTGCTGAGATCGACAACCAATTTGATTATTCTGCTGTTAGCAAACTGTGGTGGGTACTATGACTAACCTTCCAATAAAGAAAATTAATATGGCCAGAGGGAAAACATTTAATAAAAACAAATTAAGAAAAACAAGTTCATGTCCAGAATTGACCAATTTGTTTTTCTGTAACTGTTTTGCAACTTCCAAGAAAAATGTTTCTAATCAAATCTATGTTTTAATACAAACCCTAACAAATCATACAAGCATTTTGCGCATTCTTTGGAATAAGAATTAATTGTAGGGTCTCTTTATCATACTACAGTATGGATCATAGTATTGGTTTAACCTCAGTAGACCAATATATAAAATAAAGGACTAAAGAGAGGGGCTGGCTAGACAAAAAAATACAGCTTAGGTTCGAGAAGATGGTACTGCCTATGTAGACCCACCAAATCCAGCACCGGCTAATTCCTGAACCCATGAAGAGACACCCGCTTCGGAAAGCTTCAGCTCCAGGAAGGACAACTGAAGTCGCTTTTCCTGCGCCATGTTAACCGCTCGGCGGGGAAGCTGCATCCCGAGCCGCGTAGGGCCCTGGCACTCGCACGCTTTGTTCATTTTAAAGCCTTTGCTGTTGCGAGCAGCCTACCCGTCTAAAGCGCTGGGGAAAAGGGGGCTTGGGGCGGCTGCTGGAAGAGGGCACCGACCTGATGTTTAATGTTTGTTTGTAAACGAAAAACTTCAACTCGCGCTGGTCACCGCGCCTAAAGATCCTCGCACCGTAACCCCGCTGTTCTGCAGAGACCAGCCAGCACCGGGGCATCCCACCCGCCCGGGGCCAGCACAGCGCATCCCCGGCCCTACGGAGCTGTCCGGCGCTCCGGGGCCGGCTTTGTCCGCGGGTCGGGGGGTGCTGCTCGGCCCTGGAGCAGGGGATGCCGCCGCGGCACTGGGAAACTTTCCCCCGGCGGCTGCCGCAGGGGCGCGGCGGAGGCGCGGGCGGCCGCCCCCGCGGAGCGCGGCGAGCATGCCCAGTCACCGGCATGACATCAGCGCCGGCAGCGGCGGCCCCCGCGCACCCCCACCCCTCTCGGAGCCCGACCGGCCACCCCGGGGGAGCCCAGACCCCCCTGACCGCGGTGTCGGGGAGGGAACGGGGGGCAGAACCCCAGAGAGCACCGCCGTCCCTTCCTCGGTCCGCTGCCGCGGGAACAATGGGCGCGGGGCCCGCCGGCGGCGGGAGGGGGGTGGTGGGTGAGGGGGGCTCCTGCGGGCGGAGGGACCTTCAGGCAAGGATGCTCACTCCGGGTCTATGCGGAGGAGGGTGGATGCAAGTCCCGTCACGGCACCGCGCAGGCTGGGGAAGGATGCGGCAGACTTACCCCGATAACAACCGTCTCGTCGCCCTTGAATTTGGGGATGAATTTGTCCCCCCGGAGGATCTCCGCCTCGTTGAGGGGCCGGAACCGGCACATCACCTTGATGCTGCACTCGGCGGGATCCGCCATCTCGGCGGGGCGGACGCCGGCCACAGGGAGCGAACGCTCCGCCGGGCAGGTGCCGCAGACGCCCTGCTGCCGCCGACCGGGCGGGGCGGGCCTGGGCGGGGCGAGCAGCCGCTCAGCGCCGGCAGCGGCCGCGGTCCCGGTCCCCGCCTCGCCCCGCTGCCCGGGCGCGGCTGCGCGGAGCCGGGCTGCGCGGAACGCTCGCCCGCTTCAGCGCCCCCGGGGCTGCTCCGCAGCCGCACCGCAGCGCCCGCGAGGCCTGACGGGAGGCGTAGTCCGCGCGGCAGGTGGCATCCGCCAACGGCTCTAACGGTCCCTAACTGCTCCCCTCAGCGGCGCCCCACCGCACAGCCGGTAAGGAGGGAGGGAGCGAGGGAGGAGCACACAGACCACCGACCGCTGCCGCCAGGTTAGCCCTTCGTCCGTGGTAGCTTGCAGTAATCAGCTGCAGGTTATGGCTCGCTAATCTGAGGCAGGGACTACACTCATGCTAGGCTCTGGGGGTGTCACAAACCAAAACGCACAGCAGGGCACAGGTATCTATCTCCTTTCCAGTTGTCTGTACTTGCTCCAGTTTTAAGGGTAAGTCCTTTGCTTTGGGTTAGGCCTCCAGCTGCTGCTGCTGTCTGGGTGGAGACACCGGCCCGATTTATAACTAGGTTAAAGAATATCTAGTCCCGGGATGTCATTATTATTACCCTTATTTTCTGTGAGGAAAAGCAGAAGCAATAGCTGGGTGGCGCTTTGATCTCATTAAATTTACAAGCAATTTGTCACGATGCAGGCAGTGAATCAGCATCTGGAAAAAACGGTGGCTGCAGCCAGTTCCCACACAGTGGGGTGCTCTCCTTCTCCTCCTCCACTCTCTGACATTGTTTCTTCCCTACCTGCTAAAAATACCTGCAATTCACCCTCCTGTGCCAAGGCTAATGCATTTCACTACATTAAAGTGAAGTAGTCTAATATCTTCTCCTCCTCCATCACTCCCTGCAAGAATCTACACCGCTTAAAGATGAACCCAGCAACTGTTGATGTTTTCTGGAAAGCTGCAGGCATTCCCTGAACTTCAGCAACTCCAGACACCCATTTCCTCTAGAGTACCGGTTTCATTAAATGAGCCTCAGTCATGCAATTAAGATTACAGTGGCCAGTACTTTAATGTTTCTACAGAGATTTCCCTTTCTTCTAGCCACAGCAGTTGAGCAGTTGTCCTCAGTACCTGCAGTGGATGCAAGAAGAGCAGGCTACAAAGGCTCTCCGTGCCCTTCTTAAAAGCAATTACATCAGGGAGAGTTAGCAATGTGCAGCATGTGATAAGACATTATTATATAATGTGATTTATTCCCAGGGATTACCAATTATCTAGCCCTTTTATTTCTCTTATGTTTCAAGCTTTTACCCTGAATATCCAATTACGTAGTCAGGACAAGTAGGGGCTTAGTCATAAAAGACAACCGTTTCAATTAATTAATCCTGATTTTTCTCCATTACCAAGAGCTCCTTTTGGAGCAAGATAGGCAAACTATTCTCCTATTAGAGTAGGTATAATTGGCAATCAGGAAGAATGCACTGCAGAGACGTCTTTTCTTAGCAGTTGTGTCACATTTACATTGTCCATACTGTAGACAATACCATATTGTCACAAAGCTGCTATTTTTACTACTTATTACCAGATTACTGGGTTAAGTAGCCTAGTATGAACATTAGTTTTCAGCCAGATTCAGGAGGGATCAAAACCTTCTTGAGCTTGCAAGCTTCTTCCAGGTTGCTCAGAATGCACGATGGAAGATATGATTTACAGGGTATTGGAATACTACTTCCTATAAAACATGAACTATTAAGATACAGAAAAGAAGTCATAATTTGCCACTGTGATCTTAAGCATTATTAATTTCCTTCATTTCTGAAACTATGCCTTTCTCAGATCATGTACTTACAAGAAACGCCACTATAGCTGTAGTTCTCTTGGGTTTACTGAGCTACAGTGCACTAGAATTCAAGAGAGTTTTCCCAAAAGTAAAAGAAATCAAACCTTGATGTAATCTCATTTTCCCACTTTTCCAGCAAGTTCTCCAGCTAAGTGCAAAACTTAGATCACCCTGGCACATTAGATATGGTTTGACAGCAAGTTCTGATTCTTCCTGAAGAAATTGTTAAGCTGAGCCAGTGTCAGCTGGGATGGTTCACTGAACAGCCCCAGGTGTCAGAGGTCTCCAAAACAAATAACAAATCCTTTCCTCAAAGACTAGGGTGAAGGGGAGCAGTCATAAGAGAATAACGAGTTTCCATTTCCCTGTAGATGAGCTGCCAATATAGCCAAGCTGTTCAGGCTGCAGGAAAAAACAAGAAGGGAGTGTGTGATAGAGCATGTTATGAACAACAGTGGAATGAGGATTCCAACAGAAAGGTGGCCCCACAGAAATCAAGAACTGGGTGCCTGGGCATTTGGGAAGTGAAAAAGCAACTGCCATTCCTCAGAGCCAAAAGAACATTGATTCTTCCTTTTATTGCTGCTTGGTTCAAGGAGTAAGTTTTGGCTTTGGGAATGAGGTTCAGGAGAAAAAGAACAAGAAGGGCTGAATTTCTGCTGTCTTTAACAGCTCTGTGCATTAAACAGAATGCACCTGCCAGGGTCATAACTTATCAGCAGGGGAGAGTGGCTTTAACATAGGTTCCATTAATCCTGGTGTCTCAGCAATGGACTTCAAGATGAAATCCAATACACTTGTGTCATCAGTGCTGATACACGTCTGCAGGTAAAACATGGTAAAGGATTTCTTCCAGGAGGTACCAAAAGGGTTGGAATCAACATGATAAAAAGCAATTTTAAATATCCATGATAATTAATTTTGTTTGATCAGACAGGGAATGATTTCTTTGGTGGTGGGGGCACCACAGGGATTCCTCTGTCACACTTCCACGGAAGGGTCAGGTTTGTAAATCAAGTATTGCCAGTCAGAAGATATTCCATCAGACAACATTTGGGCGATACTAGCAGAGGTTATAAGCAGCCATTGTTTCTGATTTGCAAAACACTTCAATATATGCTTACTTTAAAGTACATATATAAAGTATGTTAAGTACACACAAAAATATCTTCATGTAAATTATTCACATTATACAGTCATATATATTGTGTTAACCCACCTATAAAAATGGATTTTCTAAAAACAGATTGTTACCACTTTGTGTAAAACAGCAAAATGTTTTAGTCGATTCTTCAATACTCAAACCATTTTTCTAAGTCACAATCCCTTCATCTGGGTTACTCAATAAATAACCCAAACAAAAGCATTCTAACTTGGGAAAAAAATACGTCATCTTTTACTATAGGTAGTTATAGAGCAATCATAAAAATCCTAACCAACAGAACTAAAAAGCCCAAACCCACTAAAAAATACATAACCCCAAAACACAAAGCCTCCACACCAAAGTGCATTGTGAGGGAGAACATGTCTACTGTCAAATCGGCCACCGCAATTTAGCATCACAGGCAGATGATGCCATCTTCTGGTGTCACTTACACTGCTGTTGATTTAAAGCCACGATGACTACTCCAGTCACATCACCAGGAAGATAAGGATGATGTTATTTTAAGCATCCGTTTTTCCCCAGGGCAGCATTCCGTGAAATACCATTAACTCGGGAAGAGTCAGCGAAGCATTGCCAGCAATGGTGGGAAAGCGAGCATCAGGCTGACATCAATCTACAGCTAGCTGCCACCAGCTGTCCCCAGGGGTGATGTCAGAGCCTATGGGGCTGCCCACAGCTTCTGGAAGAAGGGCTTTGCATCTCCATCCAAACTCAATCCAGACCACCACTGGGGTTCTGAAACTACCAGTTGTGCCTGGCCTTGGTCAGTTGATCACCTTCTGCCCCACTAACTTCTCTCTGCTATCAGGAGAGTTCAGCAGCTGACAGGCACAGTACTAGTTTATTTTTCAGACATTCCTGAATAGGTAAGATCTTGCCAGTATAGGATATGCATGGTGCTGTGGTCAGTGTTTTCATTTGACCTGTCAGAACTCTACAGAGTGCTTATGTACTTCTGTCGGACAAAAAAAAAAAAAATTTAGGCTGATGCATCTGTTCTTTCCAAATTTTCTTACATATCTGCTGTAGTATACCTTTAATTAATTGCCTCCCTCCTTAATTTGCCCCTTGATCTCTAGTTGATCTTTCTACATTACCCTCCCTGTGTAATTACATTTGTATTAGGCTTAAATCAGTGTGTAATGGATTGAAGCCAGATTGGACTAAAGAGATTCCCCCATTCTTAATCACAGAAACAATCACAACTTCAGGGGATTTATGATAAAAGAAAACAAGAAAAAAAAAGAGCAGTGTAATTGGGGTACAGGGGAAAGGCTATCCTGGAACACCCATAGGGTGCAAGGCATCTCCCAGATTTTCTGCAGAGATTTTGGGTCGTCATGTTTCTTCATGCCTGCAAGCACATGCACCCACTCTGAGCCTGGGGAGGGGTGCTGGGTTGCAATATGGCATTTTCACAGTTGGTACAGGACCACCACTTTCAACACTACGATGTACAGAGCAAGAATGGGTAGATGATGCTAGTATTCAGAGAAAGGAATGGAAAAAGCCACTGAGTGAACATAGCCCACATTCAGGAAGCAGTTCAGTTGCTTCGCTGTTGTTCCCTTTTAGTTTTCAGATTTTTGTCCTATACCAACTACAGTAATTTATTTTTCTTCTTTAAACTGTAGTTACTGGGTGGCAATACAGACTGATTCCACAGAGTTAAATTTCTACCAAATGTGACTTGCATGGGTGCTCTTCATTAATTTTTTGAGATTACACCATTAAAAAAAGTTCAAAGCACACACACATTGCGAGATCTACTGAGTGACTTGGAAACAAGCACAGAGAAGTTAACTTGAAACTCCCCTTTTCCTCCTGTAGAACAGAAAGGTGCTTCAGATGCAAACATTCTCACTTCAGGGAATGTCATTTTGGGTAGTGACAGTAACTGCAGTATAGCATACAATCAAACCAGTTTCAGGACATGCAAGAACTCCACATCACCTTGCTTCAGGCATCGCTATTGGGTGTCTGCAAGTAGGACATGGCTACTCCCAAGTTTCCCTTATACAGTCAAGGAAGATGCAGCTACCTCCTGTCAGTTAACAAAAGTAATCTGGAAGTGCCCTGAAGTCACTCCTTTAAGAGGGCTCTATTTGTTGGCAGGAGGACAAGACACAATTGCTTGGCAAGCCAGGTGCTTAAAAAGACAAGATAATGTATGGGTAACAATTGCAGCTTGCTTCAAACTCATTCTTAGCCAGTGGACTTCCTTACCAAATAGAAATGACATGTACTGCATTCTCTCAGATGTACATCTTTACATTCCCTTTTTGGCCATTTAAGTAAAGTTTTGTAAAAAAAGTT